AACGAATTTCGGTCACCACCAACCAGAACCGACTGATACTCGAAATTTTCCTTGTCAGTTTCCATTGAATTTCGATGGCCATCGGTGTTCGGTCGGTGATCACCGAAAAAAATCATTCGGTTCTCAACTCTGCTCGGAACACTCGTTCAATCAATTCGCAGATGTTTTTTACTGACGATAAATACTTGAATGACATCGAAACGCATAAGCATCTGCCACAAGAATCGACCCTAACCGAATCATATCCATTCACGCACTCTACAATAACTACAATCAAAACATAACAATAACGAATCAAAACAATACCTGTAACTATCGTCACGTGATAAAATCACACAACAAATATTCAACGAATCAACAAAACAAAAATGAGCATCTCGGCAATAAGGCAATGATGATGCGTCATCATCACAAATGCAAAGATGATTCGAAATAATCAACAATCGATTTCAGTGGGGTAAATTAATTTGCAGTGTGAAAGATCGACGAGTTTCAAACGATAATTCGTACTGGAACGAAGGGACGTTGTTGATCAGAGATGAGGAAAACGATCGATTGCATAACGAACAATAATCTCGGGATGATTTTTTTTTTAAATGAACATGACTAAACGAATCAATCGATTTGATAGACCACCACTAAAATTACGATCAAAACAATTAATCAGTCAACATTAATTGATCAATCAGCAGCAGTTAATTAAAGCAATCAATCAATCAGTCAATCAATCAGCAAATGTATCAGCAATAACTTTCTTCAATTCAGCTTCATGCAACGATGCGATCGGGGTTGCTGTCCACGCCAGTTCGGCTCGTCCGCAATACTTCAGCTGCAATTCAATCAACGAATCAATTAAAAATTCACTGTCATCTCATCAAGTAAAAGAATCTCTGTTAATAGGAATCAATTGTGCAAGAAATGATTATGTAGTGGACTCACCCCAATACCGAGTGCATTCAAGAAGCGTGCTTGCATAAAACTCCATGCACCAGCATTCCGTGGTTCTTCTTGTGACCAAACGTATGCTGAATATTCATTGAGTAACGATTTGTACATTTCAATTCATTTTCTGTGAAAATACCTCATCAATAACATTAATAAACTTATCAATTGATAAAATAAACGGACATTTTGCAGATGGGAATTTGCACTGAGCGATTCGTAGCGCTTCAACGGGGAATGGACAGAGCAATTCAACGCGAATGATCGCGACATCTTTCAGAGCTCGTGTCTCGCGTTCTTTTTGTAGTGCATAGTAGTGTTTACCAGAGCAGAATATCACCTGAAGGGCAATTGCGATCGTATCATTATATCATACCGATGATTTATTATTGAGAACACAAAAAAATATAACCGAGAATTCAAAAAACCTTAGTGACGTCGGTCGGCGATACGGAATTATCTTCGATAACTGGAAGGAAATGAGTGCCTTCTTTCATATCGTGCAACGTACTTGCAGCCTTTGAATTAAGTTGGATTAATTGAGATTTGGGCTTGTGATTGAGGCAGCTAATGAGGATGATAAGCTGTGGATTAATGTGAATGTGAACCGCAAGAATGGACTTTTGATGGACTTTAACTCCACGTGATCATAAACAGAGTGACAATAATGTATCTGATATGTCTTACCATGGGATGTCTTAAGAGCATTTTTGGACCAACGATAATCAATGGTTTTCGATATGGTGTTAACACCTAAAATTTACAAGTAATCAAATGCGAAACAAATAAAAAAGTATCAATAAATAAACGATAGCACGCACTCATAATTGAATGTAATTAACAATAGAGTATCAATAAATTTTCGATGTAATTCGGTGTGATGTATCAATTGTAGAATGCAGTTTATGGCTCAGCAATTGAATAAGTTCTCATTAAGTCTTTTCAATACGAAACAATTTAATCGCAAATGCATCAAACATTTGATTTTATCTTAAAGCACGCGCAAAGCAAAGTAAATTGAAGGATAACATAAATCAGGTTGATAAGATATCGAAAAACAATACAACTACTATACAAACTGATCATATAGGATATTAATGTGTATCATTAGAAATGTTGTGTATCATTTGCTCAACTACCATGCTCCAGTCCAATTCCGTGTGATCGAGTAGTATGGTAATAATCTAACCTGTCTTCTGAGTAAATGGAAGTACTGCGCAGAAGTG